CACTTTTTTTTTTTTGAGACAAGATGTGGCTATGTTGCCCAGGCTGGTCTTTTACGTCTGGGCTCAAGTGATCATCCACCTCAGTCTCCCAAGTAAATGGGATTACAGGCACATGCCACCATGCCCAGCTCATGCAGCCATAGAAGCATATCAGGGCATTCTGAATAGTATGAATAAGAAGTTGTAAGATTCTACAAGGGATATAGCAAAGAAAGTGTATGCTTCTTCTATTTAAAAGAAAGAAGGCCATTAGAAATGCTAGAAAAAAGGAAAAGAATAAAAGTCAACTATGACATGAATATGAAAAAAACTGACATGATTAACGAACAGAATGTTTAGAACAACTGTTAAGTGGCACAGATATAAAGACCCACCCAAGAACCCCGCTGTGATTAGGCAATAAATAATACATATATAGGCATCATTGTAAAAGCTGTTTGACTCATTTTCAACTTTTAGAAACAACTAATAGTGAGCTCACAACCAGTAAATTATTCAAGAAGAGACAGGGGCAGGGACATGAGGGAAGAAGAGGGAGAGAAGAAGTTGAGATACAGCCTAATAAATTCAGAAACAGGTTTAAGAGATGTATTTAAAGTTATTTTTTAAAAAGACCAGAACAAAAAATAAAAATAAAAATTTGGAAGGAGGTGACTAAATTTCTCATCTCTTTACTTGAAGTTGATTAAATCAAGATACAGAAAAATAAGCACATTATTTAAAGTTATAGAAGTAAATACCCCAACTCTTACCCAAAAAAAGAGGATTTAAAAATGTTATCTTGGGAGTGAGGAACAATTACTCTATGAACTGTATAAATAACTTATGCAAGCTACTTTGTATAGTAATTTTAAAATGCAAATTTAGACTGGATGCAGTAGCTCACACCTATAATCTCAACACTTTGGGAGGCCAAGGCAGGAGGATCACTTGAGCCAGGAGTTTGAGACAAGCCTGGGCAACATAGTGAGAACCTATGTTTCTGCAAACAATTTAAAAATTAGCCAGAAATGGTGGGGCACACCTGTAGTCCTAGCTACTCGGGAAACTGAGGCAGGAGAATCACTTGACCCCAAGGGTTTGAGGCTGCAGTAAGTTATTATCATGCCACTGTGAGGCAGGGTAGTTAGTACAGGTTAGGCATTGATAGATCATTTTCTTGTAGGCAGGTCTTAGGAAGTGTTCAGACTTTTTTTATTACTTTTTTTTTTACTGCAGACCAGGACAGTATGTGAACTCAGAGCCTACCCCATCCCCTCAGGCGATCAACAGAAAATCCCAACAGATGTAAGAACAGGACAGCCAGACCATTCAGTTCATAATCACTAAATCTTTCAGCTCATAATCACTAAAAATCTTTCAGGTTACTTGTTAAAGTAAAAGGCTCGACCCCACCCCTTAACTGATGAAAACCACAGAAATAAGACCAGACCATCCCTCCTCCCATCAGAGGTAGAGAGAGCAGCAATTACCTGTGCTCCCCTCTTTGGCATATCAATAACTAGCTAGCCATAGCTAGCTTTTAGTTGAGAGCAGAAGTGGGGGGTTCCTTTTTTGAGAAACTTGCCCATGGCAGGCCTTTCTGCCATGAATCTTCCTTTTTCCTTCTTTTCTGGCTAATGAATTCTGTTTTAAAACTTAGCTGGCCACTCTAAAATTCATTTTAGGATTAAGTCAAAGAGTTTTGTGCCACACCCCACCTGACACCAACTGCACTCCAGCCTGGGTGACAGAGCAAGACCCTGTCTCAATAAATAAATAAATAAGAATTAAAAGTAATAATAAAATGCAAATTTAGAGTTAACCTAGTGGTTAGAAAATAATTCATTTTATGAGCCAGAAAAGGCAAGCATAAGACCTTGTATCTTAGCCTCCTATTTCTGCTTTAGATGAAGCATAATGCAATTCTACTTTTTTCAGAAAATGTCTCAAAAGTGAAGAGGCAGCAGATAGTGGCAAGTTGCAAGGGTTGATTACTGAAAAAGAGAGGTAAAAGTAACTGAGGGGCTGGGTGCGGTAGCTCACACCTGTAATCCCAGCACTTTGGGAAGCCAAGACAAGAGGACTGGCTGAGCCCGTGGGTTCGAGACCAACCTGGGCAACTTGGTGAGACCTTGTCTCTACAATAAATCAAAACAATGTGGTGGCGTGCACCTACAGCTCTAGCTACTTGGAAGGCTGAGGTGGAAAGATCGCCTGAGCCCAGCAGGTCGAGTCTGCAGTGGCCGAGAGTGTGCCTCTGCTCTCCAGCCTGGCCCACAGAGTGAGACTACAACACACACACACACACACACACACACACACACAAGAATAACTGAGGGAAATAGGAAAGGGAGTGACTAAAGCTAGAAATGCTAACTTTATAGTGCCATAAGTCCATATGTTTCTATAATTGTTTCCAGTAATCCAATTGCTTGGCTGATCCAGACTACAGGTCTCCTCTGTGGCCAAAGAGACCATGAAGTCAACAGTGACAGAGTAAGTGATTGGTGAGATCACAGATGAATACGAAGTGAAAGCAAGAGATGGCTTATAAAAACAAAGTACTACTCTCATGAGGTAAAGAATAGGTGTTATATAGTAAAAAACTGATTATGTAGAAAAACAAGTTTAATTATTCAAAAGTCAAACTGCTCTGAAATCCAAGGCTCAAGCCAAGGAGAAGCACCAAAGTTGAAGTGGCCAAGGAGCAGTAAGATGAGCAACACTGAAAGCAGGAAGTAATGTCATGAGCCAAATATTAAAGCCCCACAAAATAAAAGATGAGGGAATGCCAGGAGAATGATAGACAGCAAAGAACAGGATTAGAAGTCAGTAGAAGATACACAGCGGGCCTTAGAGGAAGTATTTTAGACAAGGACAGAGGTATCGTGCTGTAGAAACAGCAGTAAGGAACAGGAAGAATGCCCAGATGGTAACCTCAGAAATCAGTGCAAAAGCTTCTCTGCAGGGGCACCAGCAGGCCCCACCATGGAGGTGTCATCTAGGCTGGTCTCTGCTAGTCACTGGGTACTTCTGCTTCTCAGCTTCATCACAGCCTTTGCCACAAAAAAGGTATCTTTTCTTTCTTCCCTCACTTCAAATTACAAAATAATTCAGTACCTCGGCAGTGGAAACACCTAGTGGTAAATAATTGAACACTTACCCCTACTTTCCGTAAGAGATCCCCCACAATGTTTAGTGCTGATATCCTAGCAGAAGGAGTGAGTGGACTGGTACCAAAACCATTTGGTATAGCTAGAGAAAAATAAAAGGTGAGTGATTACACTTGCAGTTCCCTTTACATTTGGTTTTTGCTGATGTTACAAAGCAGCATACACTCAGTGCATGCTAACATACTGTTTCAACTATGGATAAAGTATAGATAACACAAACAGGCTTAACCATTTTCCAATTGATGGATATTTAGATTATATCCAATTTTTCTCCACTACAAATAATACTACAAGAACATATGTCCTTAAACATCTAGACAAATATTTCTGGAGAAGACATTCCTAAAAATAAAACTGCTAGGTCAGAGTGTATGTCCATTTTTTTCACTTTAGTAGACTGCCAAAATGTTTCTAAAAAAGTTGTGCCAATATCAGCAATCTGTGTGGTGGTGCCCTCAGGAGTATTAGACATTATCTTTTTTTGACAATTTGATAGTCATGTTGTTTTAACTTCTATCTCCATAATAACTATTTGTTTAAATTTTCTCTTCTGAAGCCGGGCTCAGTGGCTCAGCCTGTAATCCCACGCTTTGGGAGGATGAGGCAAGTGGATTGCCTGAGCCCATGGATTCGAGACCCGCCTGGGCAACTTGGCGAGACCTCATCTCTATAATTATTAAAAAAAAAAAAAAATTTCTCTTCTGAAAATTATCTGTTTATTCTTTGCACTTTTTTCTACTGGGTGTCTTTTCTTTAATTTTCAAGGGTTCTATGCATTATGAATATTCATTCTTTCTCTTATATTGTATCTCTCAGTGACATTTACCTTTTAAACTTTTGTGTTTTGGTAGGGGAAACTTTGGCCACACCAACTCAATATCATAATGTTCCCCATATTTTCTCCGAGTATTTTTGTAAATTGTTTTTCATCCTTTCACTCATTCATTTATTTATTGAGTTGGAGTCTTGCTCTGCTGCCCAAGCTGGAGTGTAGTGGCTGTGAGTGTGCCTTCTACCTCAGTCTTCCAAGTAGCTAGAACTACAGGCTTGTGCCACCACGCCCATCTAATTATTTTTTATTTATTTATTGTAGAGATGAGGTCTCACCAAGTTGCCCAGGCTGTTCTTGAACCCATGGGATCAGGCAACCTGCTCACTTCTGTCTCCAAAGTGCTGAGATTACAGGCAAGAACCACTATGCCTGCCTACATTTAGATCATTTAATTTGGTTGGAATTTATAATTGCATATGATATAAGGTTGACATCTAAACTTTTTCCTCCGAATGGATAGTCAATTATCCTAATATCGTTAAGTGAAGACTTGTCTCATCTGAAATGGCACTATAATTCCACACTGAATTCCCTGAATATGAATATATTTCAGTTCCATTCAATTATTAGTTTATTCCACCAGAAATATGCTACTTTTAAATTATTATAATGTTAAAATATGTTTTGGTACCTCAAAGGGTAAAAACCTGTCTTGTTATGAGCCTATTTCAAACTTTTTTTGGCTATTCCTGTAGATTGAGTACTCCAAAATAACTTTAGTCCATTTTATTTTCTTTTTCTATTTCACCTTTCTTAAAATGGAGGTCTTGCTATGTTGCCGAGATAATGATCTCGAACTCCTGGCCTCAAGCAATCCTCCCATCTCAGCCTCTCTAAGTGCTCATTCCACTGTACCTAACCTCAATTTGTCAATTTAAACTTTGTGAAATTATAGATTGATTTGGGGGAGAATGGATATTATAACAAAGTTAAGTCTTCCCATTCAGAATCATAGTATTTACTGTGATATTTACTCACATATTTCACACTCAATAAAGAAGCTGTGATATTTCTTAATATTTTTTTTTTGAAAGCAGGATTTTTTGACAGGACAAAAAAGCTCCCGCAGTGGGAGGGGACCTGAGGAGGTTGCCCTCTTAATTTTTGAAAGAAAACATGGCATAATGACTAAGCGTTCTTGAGCTAAACTGCTGTATACAATCCAATTTGGCCATTATAGGTAAGTTATCCATAATAAATGGGAACAAATAGCATTTATAAAGTTGTAAAGTTTAAATTAATTTACTTCAAAAATACCTAGCACACAGTGAGTACTCGATAAAGGTCAGCTTTTTTATCTGTTTTCTACTTTAGTGGGTTTTTGTTGTTTATTGTCCTCCTCTAGGATATAATCTCAGTGAAGGTAGAGACTTTATCTTACACTATGCTCTCAGCATCTAGAATAATGCATGGCATATAACAGGTGTTCAATGTGATATAAATAAACTGCTATACTGTTCTTGGTAGGGAGTTCTGGTTCTCATTTTTCCCCTAGTCACCTCAAGTTTCATATTTTAGGTATTATTAAATCTGTGCTTTAATGGTAAGTTACCATAAATGCTTTTTGGAAGCAGGTACTATATAAATAAAATGCAATTAAGGACAGACTACTTCATCTCTTTGATCTTGCCACTGATTTCTCTAACCACCTGCTTCTCACAACTTCTGTGTTTTCTTATATGAAACTGCAGTGATCTAGTACACAGCAGCATTTAGGTTAGTCTGTGAAAATTCATGCTATCAGTTCCAGTCTAAAAATGTTTAACATTTATACCAATACTACTGCCATAGGGTTGACACATCTCATGCTGTGCCACAGCAGACTCTATGTCCTAATGACTCCCCAAGTCGCTGATGGAAACTGACAGGCTATAAAAAAAGACTGCTCGCAGGGCTCGGTGGCTCAGTCTGTAATCCCGCACTTTGGGAGGCTGAGGTGAGTGGATTGCCTGAGCCTACGGGCTCAAGACCCACCTGGGCAACTTGGCAAGACCTCATCTCTACAATAAATCAAAAAATTAGCCACCGCGCGCCTGTAGTTCCAGCTACTTGGAAGGCTGAGGCAGAAGGATCGCTAGAGCCCAGCAGGTCGAGTCTGCGGTGGCTGGGAGTGGCCACTGCACTCCAGTCTGGGCAACAGAGTGAGACTCCAACTCAAAAAAAAAAAAAAGTCTGCTCCACCTTTGAGTGTCACCTCAACTGAGGCTTTTAATTATTCTGATTGGTGCTCAACTAAAGAACGTTCAGAACTCATCTGTATAATTCTCATTAGTAACATAAAAGCAAACCTTTGTTAGTTCTCAGATGTTAATAATTGAGAAATCATCAAATACACAAACAGCTATTCTGGAAAACTAACAGTAAGGGCTTCTGATGACTGCTATAATCTATATATTGCCTGCTATTTGTCCTTAGCAGCAAACTCGGTACATACTAGTGCAACTAGTAATGCGTTATTACTATATAGCATTTTCACATACTTTATCTGATGCCACCTCATAACAAGGCAAAGACAAGTTATCTATTCAAGGGCTCTTGAGTACTAATGTGGCTAATGTGATTGAGAAACTGAAGTTTATATTGAATTTCATTTAAATTATTATAGTCACATGGGTTAGTGGCGACTGTATCATGCAGCACAGATATAGAGAGTTTACTGTACTACTTACACAGCAAAACTTCTCATAACACTTTGAAAAATAAAACTATATTTTTTAAAAGGGCAGGAGGAAAGGAAGCTTCAGTATAGAGTGAAAAAAAGCATGGGGAAACAGAATAGCTGAAATATGATCTGAAAGCTGCAAAACCTAAACAAATCTGAACTGGGAGCTTTAGGATTCCATTTTTATGTTCTATCTAGTGGCTACTAAATGGTTTTACTGCTTATTTGAACTTTTTAAAATACTGGCTTATGGCAAAAGCAGTATTCTCCATGTGCTACTCATCAGTTACTATGAAATTAGCAGCTCCTGAAGCATATAACCCAATGGGCATGTCCATCCAAGCCAGTTTCACATGAATCTGCAATGGAACTTGATGATTCTCTGTACATTCTTTTTTTTTTTTTTGAGTTGGAGTCTCACTCGGTCGCCCAGACTGGAGTGCTGTGGCCGCTCCCGGCCCCCGCAGCCTCGACCTGCTGGGCTCCCTCGATCCTTCCGCCTCAGCCTTCCGAGTAGCTGGAATTACAGGCACGCGCTACCACGCCCAGCTGATATTTTGATTTATTGTAGAGATGAGGTCTCGCTGCCCAGGCGGGTCTCGAACCCGTAGGCTCAGGCAATCCACTTATCTCAGCCTCCCAAAGGCGCGGCATTACAGGCTGAGCCACTGAGACCGGCGATTCTCTGTACATTCTATGTATAAAGGTCTCTAGTCTCCCATAATATGTAAGTAGCAAAAACAAGAAACAAAATTGTATTTAAATATGATTCCAATATTTGCATGAGACAAGGAAATGTGCACAAGCACACCACGGTGGAAAAAAACCCCAAAATGTTTATGGTAGTTGTCTTAAGTGGTAAGATAACAGATGATTCTTTTCTTTTTTCTTTTCTGTGTTTTTAAAATGTCCTACATGAACATGTATGACTGCTTTAATCAAAAAATAAACTTTCCTTAAAAACCATTAACTGCCAGGCTCGGTGGCTCAGCCTGTAATCCCGCGCCTTTGGGAGGCTGAGGTGAGT